GACTTCATTATGATTGCATGAAAAATCAAATTTTTCAAAACGGCTATGAAGCCGACTAACACTCCAACGATTATAAAATCAATTAACACACAACTACGAAGTTGTAAACTCGAGCGGAATCTCGAGCAGGCTACAAAGCCTTCGACTACGAAGTCGACTAACACAAGTATGAAGTTGTCAATTCTCGAGCGGAATCTCGAGCAGGCTACGAAGCCTTCGACTACGAAGTCGACTAACACAACTACGAAGTTGTCAATTCTCGAGCGGAATCTCGAGCAGGCTACGAAGCCTTCGACTACAAAGTCGACTAACACAACTACGAAGTTGTAAATTCTCGAACGTAATCTCGAGCAGACTACGAAGCCTTCGACTATGAAGTCGACTAACACAACTACGAAGTTGTAAACTCTCGAATGGATTCTCGAGCAGGCTATGAAGCCTTCGACTACGAAGTCGACTAACACAACTACGAAGTTGTAAACTCTCGAGTGGATTCTCGAGCAGGCTACGAAGCCTTCGACTACGAAGTCGACTAACACAACTACGAAGTTGTAAACTCTCGAGTGGATTTTTGAGCAGGCTATGAAGCCTTCGACTACGAAGTCGACTAACACAACTACGAAGTTGTTGTGGAGTCTCGAGTGGAAATCTCGAATAGGCTACAAAGACTTCGACGCCGCAGTCGACTAACATAGCCTTAATGATTTGCTTTCAAACGAAATCTTGAGCAAATTGCAAATCTCACACATGGCATCGATATACACAACTATGCAACAGCCACGCTTAAAGAATGAAAAGTTTGGCACAACCGAGCCTAATGGATATCTACACAACGAATATCGGCACAACTATGAAGCTGTTCAAATCGTCGCTCGACTTCGACCAGCTCGCAAGAAGGGTTGGGGAGAAGACGAGTTGAAAAACTTAGCGTTTCACAGCTACGAAGCTGTTCAAACCGTTGCTCGACTTCGACCAGCTCGCAAGAAGGGTTGGGGAGAAGACGAGTTGAAAAACTTAGCGTTTCACAGCTACGAAGCTGTTCAAACCGTTGCTCGACTTCGACCAGCTCGCAAGAAGGGTTGGGGAGAAAACGAGTTGAAAAACTTAGCGTTTCACAGCTACGAAGCTGTTCAAATCGTTGCTCAACTTCTACCAGCTCGCAAGAAGAGTTGGGGAGAAGACAAGTTGAAAAACTTAGCGTCTCACAGCTACGAAGCTGTTCAAACCGTTGTTCGACTTCGACCAGCTCGCAAGAAGGGTTGGGGAGAAGACATACGGGAAATAACAATAGCAAGATAACTTGAAATACAATTCACACGAACAGTAAAGGGAAAGGAAGAGAATTATATTGATCATAGCAAATTTGATTACATTAGAAGTCGTCTCGACCTTTACATAATCCGAAAATAGGTCGAGAACGACAGAAGAAAAAAACATAGCAAAACAAAAACAACGACACAGCCCCAAAGTAAATAACGCTGCTAAGACTCGGCATCCAACTTCTCAGCAGCATCATCTCCACCCTCCACAACCGTGGCAGTTTTCTCCACATCAGCATCCTCGTCGACAAGCGGCCCGACACCCTGCTGCTCGACATCCCCCGCCTCGACTTCCTCCTCCCGACTAGCCCCACTTGCCCGGACTAGTTCGGTCGGACCGGACAAGGGGGTGGGAGGAACCTCGAGTTGTGCGCTCAGGCCAGCCTTGCGGATGACCAAAGCCTCGAGTCTCGACCACCATGGGTAATCGTCGGGGAGAGAGTCGTCGCCCGCATAGCCCTCGGGAAAGGGAAGCGTCTCCTTAACCGCCTCGCGGTCGAGCTTCCCCTCAAACTCGGATCCCGAAACCACCGCCTCCCACGCGGCGAAGGTATGCTCGAAGTACTGGAGGGTGGCGGGGCAGAGCTTGTCGAGAAAGGCAGGAGAGTTGCAGAAGGCCTTGACGAGCTCCTGGCGGTAGGTCTCAAGGAAGACGGCGCCCATCGGGGACTTCAAAAACGTCCTGCGCCCCTCCTCGACGCCGCTCTCGCTCTCGACCATAGCCTCGTCGCGAGCCTTGTCAAGGTCGGCTTTGAGCTTGTCGTTCAGGTGCCGAAAGACGGCCTTATCGGCCTTTAACTTGTCGACCAGGGCCTTCGAGGCCTCCAAGTCTCCTTTCAGCGCCTCGATTTCCTGGCGCTGAGCCTCACACTTGTCCTCGAGGGACTTGGTGGAGGAGAGGGGAGCCTTGCTCGTCTCCTCGAAGCAAGGGAGCGCCGCGGCCAGGAACTGCGAAAAAACATTAGAAACAGATGAGAAAAAATGAATGAATTAAGGAAAATGCAAAAACTGAGTCGATTGAAGGGTAGGAAAAATACCCAGGAGAGGCACTGAACAGTATAATTGGAGCGCTCGTACAGGTTCCCGTCGACACGCTCCTTGTCGTCCTCCGGGATGAGGGAGTTGAAGTACTTGGCCACCTGGTACGGCTCTGGGTGATTCCAGAGCCGAGAAGGCATCTTAACCGTCACGTCCTTGACGGTGATTGGGGAAGGGGTTTTCTTCTCGACCACCTTTCCCTTCCCCTTGTCGACCTTGCGCCGTTTAAGGTCGTCGGGGATAAGGATGGCGGCCCGATCGTCCTGGGCCCTTTTGCGAGAAGAGGAGCCCGAAGATTTGTGTTTGGAAGCACCAGGATTCTCGACCTTGGATTTTTGGGCAGCTGTCGCCTCGACAGCTGCAGTACCTGGCCTCGACCCGGACCCGCCTGAGGGGCGAGAGGGAGGGACAGGACCACCAGCCGGCTGGCCAATCTTGAGCTCGAAGCGTTTGAGCGCTTTAACTGAAATAATAGAAGAGCAGTTAGCATATGAAGAACACTTAGCGGTCATGATGCGAAGGATCAAAACTTATATAGTTGAACAAGAAGGAACAATAACAGCTTACGAGGGTCATCGAGACGAGGAAGATCCTCGTAAGGGACGATTCGGGCGTGATTGACCAATTCACGGTCCTTTATTACTGACGAGCGCTATATGTATGCTTATTGAGCTCCGTCAACAGAGTAGCGAATTCGTCAGACTGGGGCCGTTTATTTTGTTTCACTTTCGAAGTGATCCATTTATTAACATAAGGATACATGCCGGGAGCAGGTCGAATAAATACGTACTTCGACTTCCACTCAGTCACGTTCGACGAAAGATCGTTGAGGAAAGTGACGCCGGCGCGGCGACCCAGACAATGGGCGCCTTTGGAAAGACGATAACCGTAGCAGTAAAAGAAAAACTCGGGAGAAAAGAATTTGAGTATTATTCGGGAAACGACTATGAAAGCTATCATGATGCGAATAGCCTTTGGGGAAAATTGATTGATGGGAATATTGTACAAATTGCTTATCAATATTAACTCGTCTTGGATAGGAAAGCGAAGGCCAAAGACAACTTGGTCTATAAAAAATGTGTGACAGCCGGGGGGAGGATGAGCGAAATCGTCATTAGGGCCAGGGGCGACTAACTCCTAATCCGAGGGAAGCCCACTGAACTTACACAGAGGTTCCCAAAACCCAGAAAAAAATTGAAGAAGGAAAAACCAACAAAAACGAGAAAAGTAAAAGAGAGAAACAGAACTTACACATGATGCTTGGATGGATTCGGAGAAAGCGTTAAGTTGCCGGAGAGAGAGATAGCCGGAGAAGCTGGAGACACAAAGGCGCCGGAGAGTTGGAAGCGGTTAAGAGTTCGAAAAGTTGGAAGCGTGAAAAGCCATCCAAGGTAAACACGCAATGTATTTATACTCGAGGACAATAGAGGCGGACCGTTGGATCAATAGTGGAATCAACGATCCAGATGAAGCGCCGAATTCGAGGAGTCGGCGATGGAGATGACGCGCGTCACTTTAGGGTTTTCAAGATTTAAAATTTGAAATAGGCCTGACAGAATGTCAGACTTATCCGAAAAAGCAATCATGAGATTAAAGTGCGCCCTAATTAATTGACGAGACGAGTTATCAAAGAAGGCAAAGATGAGCGAGTGTCGCAGGAAGACAACACAACTACACACCACCAAATTTACTCTTAAGCAGTCGACTGCTTAGAGTAATTTTTTTTTTGGGGGGGGGGACTAGATGATATAGCCATATAAAGATAACCCGGTCCAGAAGCTTCCTACTCGACCGGAGAACCACTTAAACGACTCACATGTCGACATGACCCTGTCGACATGATCAAATCGACTTCCCTAAAGTCGATCCTACCAAGAGCAACCGGGAGAAGGAAGATATCGGTCTAGTCGACTCTCGCAAGTCGACTTCCGTCTATCGACTTTCACTAGCCGACGTAAAGGGGAGAAAATATCAGGAGCGTAACTCCCATGCATCAGATACTCTGGGTCGACTTCCACTAGTCGACTCCACTATGACGACTCTCGGAAGACGACTTCACCACGGAGAGTCAAACCAAGCGTAGCCTCCGAAACCGCATACATTCATAAGTCGACCTCTTAACTCTCGAGGTCGACTCTGCACATCTCGAGGATTAAAGCAAGTGAAGACGATTCACCACACTTGCAACATATCTGAAGCTCTACACACTACAAAGGATAAGAAGGAATCTTGCGATGACTCAGCAACAAGGGGAGACGAATCGACCAGGGTATTTTGGACCTTCTAGGTCCACCGACTTGGGCATTTTGGGCACTTCAAGTAAGTATTCACTCCTATATAAAGGAGATGAGGTAACCCCAAACCCTAACTCTCATTCATTTCCACTCTCCCCCATAGCTGTTGCGCAGCCTCTCTTCATCACTCCCATACTGACTTGAGCGTCGGAGGCTCTACGCCGGAAACACCTCCGGCGTTGAGTTTTTTGCAGGTGTCTCGCGGTCTAGCAACGATTTGGAGGCGGTTCAAGCAGATCTGAGCTCACATTCACCGGTTTACTCCAGATCTGGAAGTAGACTCATCAGCCTCCATTACGGACTGTTGAGTAGAAAATACACTTGAACAGAAAATATATAAAGCCAACTCAAACCAAGTATTTTTTTTAAGTATTCTCCAATTAACCTGAATTTGATCGCTGTTTCCAGCTGTGATATTGGAAATAGTGCAGCAGGCTTCATTTTCAATGCTCTTCTCATGAGCTTCACTCAAGAGGTTCAAGAGACGGGGCAGTGCATTATTGCTGATGGTATACTGCACACCGTCATAGAAAAATCCATGAGAAAATGGTTAAAATCGACTTAAAGGGTTTGGTTCATCATACCTGAGTTTGTATATCATCTCCAGTGACAATATTTCCAACAGTCCGAAGGGCAGGAAGAAGAATGGATGGCGATGGATGACTACAATGCAGAATTAATTCATCCATCAGCCACAACATAAGAGAAAAGAAGAAAAGTTTTAACGTATAACAAAATAATAGAGATACTAACAGCAACAACTCGACTAAGCGGGGGCATACTCCAGAGTCAATCACAGCTTCAATTTTATCATTGGTTCCATCAGAAAGATATGCAAGTGCCCAACAAGCATCGGTCACAACTTCTTCGTCACTCGAGTGAATAAGTTGCTTGAGAACTGGTAGTGCAGGCCTCGTCTATCCATAAGGACAATAAATATTAGTAAAAAATAATTACACATTATTCAATATCATAAGTTCAAAAGTACTTTTATGTTGTGTTAAACTTAATCAATATCATAAGTGCTTGTGAAGTTACATATGGAGAGTCAAAGAAGCATCTAGTCTAGCAAATATATCATACAGATCTTGGTAACTCACTATATCCAAGAACAGCCTTTCTTCTGAGTGTGATTTCAAGAGAACACTAAATAACATAATAACTACTCATAACAGATCTTGGTAGCTTACTATTTGAAACTTGAAAATCTGAATTTAAATCACATAAGCAGACTATAACCACAAGTATTATGAAACAATTATTTTTAGTGGGTTAAAAAGTGACCTTCAATCTAAAGAAGAAATAAAATGCTCTACAGTATATAACAAAATTCTCTGATTGGTACCGTACGTCTATATAAATAAATAATGATTAACCCACCATAAAATTCATGAACAATAATCCTTGTCTGCATCAACTCAAAATTTCTCATGCATATTGTAAGATGGAGAATTTGGCATGTTCTTAAAGCAAACCTGTTCAAACGCAGGCTGTGGATTGCCTCTGCAGAAGTTAGACAGTGTCGAAGTAGCATTTCTGAGCACAGATAATTTGGCATGTTCATTCAACTGAGCAAGCAAAGGACCCAAGGCTCCATGACCAAGCACAAAGTCACGACATTTTGGAGAATAATCCGCCACATTTCCCAAAGCCCATACAACCTAAATCGTAAAATAGAGTAGATTATTATCATTATTATTAAAAGAAGTATGCATAATGTACATTGGCAGGAGACATAAAATGCTCCAGAAACAACACAGAATATAACTCTTGAATATAAACACACCTGTTCACGAACATCATCACTAGAAGAAGCAAGAAGCTTCACAAATATTGGGACTGCTCCATGATCAATTACTACCTTAGTGTGTTCAGATGTGCCAGAAGCAATATAAGTCAGAGCCCAAGCTGCCTCAAACTGCATTCAACATTTAAAAACAATATATAAGTCGTTTATTTAATTAACAAATACAGAAAAAGAAAACACTAAATCAGAAGCGGGTTTTAAACCACAACTGTTAGACCTGAAGTTGCGGGAATTCCTCCCTCATAAAAAATTCAACAATGCGGGGAACAACACCTGCTTCAATCACCTCCTGAATTGGCGGACTGCGCTCTGCCAAAATCCATTATAGGATACAATAAATGATCAAGTAAAGACGGTTCTCTTTACACCCCAACTTATTTAAAACACAATAATCACCTATAGAAAGCAATTTTCGGAATTGGGTGGTTGCCTCAACCTGGCTGTTGGGATCATCTGTCCAAACACTCAGGACCAGTGATGGTAGATTTTCTAACTGCACCTACAATAAAAACAAACAAACAAACAAAAAATTNTTTCTAAAATATTAAGAAAATTGATAATATATTTGTGGTTCTAATAACTGCTCATGATATTTTCCAAACCACCGGCAGAAGCAAAGTTAAATACAGATATGCGAGATGCATCACATCCATATTGAGTTCAAAACACAGCCAAAAAACAGAAAATGAGAAAAGGGAGGCACTAATCAATCTTGCATTTGCTGTAAATCATTTGGCTACTTGACAGAAAAAAACAAAGAATAAAAATAAACATACTTCCGATCCGCACAGTCAGTTGAACACCAGAACCATAGCATAGCATCTATAAGGAAGATCAAAACTCCATGACGGATCAGGAGACCCGATTTTAAATGTTAAATAACGAACTTGTAGTTTAAGTTGAAGCCCTCATTTCATATAAAATATATATAGTACATTGACTTTTAAAAAAATGACTATATATTGACTTTTAAAAAAATGAGCCAGGGCCTTGTATGGCTCCCCACCTGTCCGACCATCCAATTCCACCCACAGGTCTACAAACATTTACAAACCGAAAAATCTAACAAACAAAAAACTTATATGGAAAGCAAATAAAAGAAAACAAACCAATTATGCATTCCTAATCATACGCCTACCTTTTTCTCGATGCCGGTGGTGGCTTCGACAGGAACAGAAAACTGCTCACGGCGGTTCTTCTGGAGATTCTCCTCACGGCGGTTCTTCCGAATCTCGACCATGTTGTCCTCCCTCCGCCGCCGACGCCCCTCCTCGTCCTCGGCGTCCACAGCCACCTCGTAGGGATTGCCGCGGACCTCGGCGCGAGCATTGGGTCTCAGCGACATCGTAAGCCCTTCGAAAATCGCTGAGAAAGGAAACATTTGAAATCGGAAATAATTGGAGTCGCGGAGTATTAGGTGAAAAGCGAGGGTTCTATACAAGGTTTCGTTACGTGCGATACTACTGTAGAGGATAGCATGTGGTTTCAAGCTAACCCTAGTGGACTTCGGATTAAACGGTCTAGGTCTGAAATGTACAAATTTAAATGAGCTATCAATAAACGGACTTCGGATTAAACGTCTAAGCCTAAAAAGTACATATTTAAATGGGCTATCAATAAAAGGACCCAACCCTAAACCTAGCAGGCTTCGGGTTAAACGAGCTATAATAATAATAATAATAATAATAATAATAATAACAATAATAACAATAATAATAATAATAATAAATAAATAAATAAATAAATAAATAAAAAATTACAACACCTAATTAACGATTTTTTCTAACGGCTATTTAGTATTTACCACTCTATATAAGCAACTACGAATTTTTTATCCAAACAAAAATAAAAATAAAAATTAAGTGGACAAAAACAAAAAAAAAAGGTGGATAAAAATAAAAAGGACGTAGTAAGTAAAACGTATTTTTGTAATACGTTTTAAAGTCAGTTAAATTAATTATGTAATTAACTTAATTTAATAAACTTAAAACATATTTCCAAAATGCGTTTTATATATATTTTTTTTAAAACCGTATTTCTGAAATACGTGTTATTAGTAAAATTAATTTTATATATTATTTATTGCAAAAAATAAATTTAAAAAACTTAAAAAAACATTCTCAAATGCGTTTTATAAATAAAATTAATTTCATAATTCTTTTTTTGCAGAAAATAGTTTTTTAAAAATAAAATATATTTTAAAAATACGTTTTATTTTGTCCTAAAATAAGTTTTTCCTAATTTTGCCTTTAGGACATATCCTCACAATACGTTTTATAATTAAAAAAATAAATGAAAAACGTATTTTGAAAATACGTTTCATTTTGCCCTAAAATCAATTTTGCCCTAATTTTGCTTTTAAGAAGTATTCTCACAATACGTTTTATAATTTAAAAAATAAATATAAAACTTATTACATAAATATAAAATGTATTACACAAATACGTTTTACTGGGCAGAAAAATAAAAAGAACACACCGTTGGTCGGAATCCATTCAACAACCAAATGTACCTGTTCGACGAACTAATATCAATCTATTCATCAAATAATGATCTAACATACATACACTATATACAAAAAGTCAACCACAATAATTTATTCGAAATACAAATATGTCAAAATATCAGTACACAGAATCCAAGAAAAGAAAACAAATATGTCCTCAAAATTCCCCGAATACAACACAATCTAACTAGGAGTGTATGGATTCTTAGGTTTGCGCTGTCGAGACCCCTTTCGAGGCATTTGTCGTGAAGAAGACGAGGCTGTGGTCGTGATAGGCGTGGCAGCTTCTTTTTCTTCACCTGAGTAATTCATTTTTTTAAAAATCACAAATTCGACTGGACAAAAAAATAAATAAATATATAAATCAATTTTTTGATAAGTAAACAATTATCACCTTCTTCTTCTTCGTCAGGCTCGGTGTTGGCAGCGTGTTCGCGGAAACTGCGTCTTCTACCTCCACCAATGTGGGCAGCGGGTTGATGCCTCGCCCGGTGTGACTGCGTCCTCTGGTATTAGTCCTCCTGAGATAGAACTTGACTAGACGACGTCCCTTTGTGTGACCTCTTGGCCTCCAACAGTCAAAGAAATGTCGAGAAGGTTTTGGGATCGTTGGATTGTGGCCTGCGCCCCTGGAGGGAGTGTATGAAATATGTCTTGAAGACTCGCTAACGAGTTAAAAGCCCCTCCATGGCTTGAATCTGAAAATCAAATTCAAAGTAATTAGTATGAAACACCAAAAAAAATAATAATAATAAAAAAAAACACAAATTATGAACACTTACATCGCACTTCTCCCGCTCGGCAACTGGCTGATAGTCGCCGTCCTGTTGGACCACCGTGTACTTGTTAAGGTCACGGATGAGTCTCACAGTCTTACTGTGATACCAATCAATCCTCCTCAGGCTGTAGAAAGTGATCCACAGGGACATGTGGGAGGATATTTTCTTTCTTCGGCCCAAGCCTTCCCAAACTCTAAATGAAAGGCGGCCCAATCAGCAAATGCCCTCCCAGTCATTCCCTGGCCTCTGTGGTGTCTCTCTCATTCGACCTCACCCGTAATCATCAGAGTTTAGAGGATTGATTGATGATACCCAAACTGACGGAGGACCCTATCAGGCAAGTGGGGTTCACGGATGTTCCAACAGAAGATCCACCCTCTATACATCCAAAGACGTGAATCTTCTGTACACTGGTCCGGGAGAGTACCAGCCTCCAGGTACTGCTCATAAGGCACCCAATCGAACTGTTAAAAAAATAAAAAAAAATTAATTAGGAATTAAGTTATAAAAAAATTAAAAACAAAAAACAAAGATAAATTAATGAATAGGACTTAAGACTCCTACATCCGTCTCTCTCAGCCCTGTCAATTGATCCCGGACAGCGGCTGTTCCCTTGCCTACGTGTTTTAAGTCCTTCCATCCCACCCACCTTAAAAATCACGGAAATAAACACTTTGTAATCACAAAATTTGATAATGGAGATAACCTATGTATTAAATATAAATAAATGTGATTACCTTGCACCTAAGCGAGAACCAGGAACAGAATCAAAGTTCGTCACCCTCATTTTTGGGCGAAGACGAGGGATACGTTCCCATGCCCAAACCTACACATATCGACATATGCATTTGTTATTAGATATTGGTCTAAATTAGAATAAAAAAAATGAATTTTCAAATAACAAGTAAATAAATGTACATGAATCAATTGCACCACAGAATAAGGGCCCTCGCCCTCTGTTCTTAGACTTGGCTGTGTTGTCCATCTTGTAGCTCTGTGGTGCATTTCAAAAACTGGCCTGAAATGGCCCAGTTTTGGGGTCGTGCTCTGGGTCGTCTTCAGCCTGAGAGTAGTTTATATATATCAAAAACAAAATAATGGAGTATACATAAAAAAAATAATAATAATTGTAGGAAAAAAAACCTGGACATAGGGCTCAAACTCTAGAAAGTCCGAACACATGTCTCGTCATTGTTGGGGTGTTAAATTTACAGTCTCTCCCCAACAAGTAGTTCCATTGACCGGGAGACCAAATAGAACTTGTACATTTTGGAGCGTGATCGTGGCCTCCCCGAAATCAAAGTCGAAGGTATGCGTCTTCGGTCGCCACCTTTCCACCAGACAGGTAATGAGGCTGTTGTCGGTCGTTACTCGGCCCATTCGAAACAGCGGCCCAAAACCAGTCTTATCGATCACCTCCCAAACCCTGGCATGCTGCTTCTTCAAGGCCTTCCAAAACGGAGTGTTGTAACAGCGGTTTGTAACAACACCGTTACGATATCCCTCTAAATCTTCAAATACCGCCATGGACCGGTGGCAGTACTGAAGATATAGAAAAGAGGGATCCCTCGGACCGGGGTGTACATTGTAGCGCTCAGGTTGTGACCACGACGATGAGGCCATTATCTACAAAAAGCCCAAAAAAATCGAAACCATTACACTGTTCATAATATAAAGCAAATAATTACAAGCAAATTATATATCAAATCAATTTGTCAATCTCAATCGTTAACAAAAAAATTATAGTATTCATAATATAATACAAAAATTATAGTTTTCGTTTTATTGATGTTTGTTGGGGTTCTGCTCCTCATTCCACTTGTGTGTATGTTGATATATCATTGCGTTTTCAATTCTTCTTGTGCATGCTCCTATCGTATTCCAATCGTGCTAGATTTGATTCCTTGTAACACATGCCCACCTTCAGAGAGGTGATCGATACATGTGACCATCTAACCTTTTGGCCTTACGCACGATGGATTCTACTCCCTTGAACACATGCCCACCTTCAGAAAGGTGGTCGATACATGCAACCATCCAGCCTTTCGACCTTAATCATGATGGATTTTACGTCCTTAAATACATGCCCACCTTTAGAAAGGTGGTCGATACATGCGACCATCCAGCCTTTCGGCCTTAATCATGATGGATTTTACGCCCTTGAACACATGCCCACCTTCAGAAAGGTGGTCGATACATGCGACCATCCAACCT